TATATAGTTTTGAAGATTACATTAAATCAGTATATATTATGGATTATATTATACTGTTTCAGAGTGTATATATATATATATATATATATATATGTAAGTAAATATTTTTTTTATCTAAAGAATATTCGGCAAAAGTCAGTATTTCCTAAGTATTAAATATTATAAAAAAATATGTGTTTAAAAAAAAATCTTTAAATGTATCATAAAATAAAAAAATAAGTATTTGAGTATAAAAAAAAACACATTTATTATTATAATGTATACACATTACATTAACTATGTTGTCTATAAAGTAGGGGTTGCAGCTGATATTTCAGCTTCAGCTATAAACTCATTAGCTTCAGATTAATGCTGAAGCTGATCAAGTCAGTTTAATCATCTTGATAGCTGATAGTAAAAGAGAATATTACTCCATAAATATTTTATATAAAATATTTATAGAGTTAAAATCTAAAATAATGACAAAATTTAAACATACATGTAAATTTTAAATAAAATTTGCCAAAAGTTGTTGCTATTTATAAATGTTGCCATCAGAGCCTAGGCCTAGGACTTACAATATTAGGGGACCCAAATTATGTTTTTAGAAATTTGTTTAAAAAGTGGTGCCCAAAAATCTAATTCCATTTTTAATTATCTTAAGGGGACCAACTATTTTTTGTTCAAAAAGAGTACACTTTGCAAGTATTTCATAGGTAAAAAAAAAAAGGAAGATAAAACGATAAAAAACTTTATTTTTTTTTTAAAACATATTTTTCGTCAGAGTGGATTTTTTTTGCTAGATGAGGATGTTCGTCTAATAATGTAGCTGCATCCAAACATATTAAATTTCATATTAAATTTGACTGTTAAGACGGCATATAATGTTTTTACAGAAAGTTGCAACTTCTCACTGCTCCAATAATCATTCCATAGTGAAAAAACCTTTTCAACAGCAGCATTAGTGCCTAGACAACATAAAGAAATTTCTGTTAAAACTTTTAAATTTTCATGTGGGATATGTTCTACTCTAAAATGCCGAAAGATTTCTACACTTTTTTTTTTCAAGTTCTATTTTCTCATTGTTCCATTTCTTCAATTTTTCTTCATTCAAAAATAAATTTATTCTTCCAATTTCTTCAAAAAGAAAATTGTCATTAATAACAATATCTTTTACTTCCTTTAATACAAATTCGACTGCTGAAGAAACTTTTTTCCATTAACTTTTACTATTTATAAGGGTCCATTTAAAACAATTCAATGCTCTTAAGTTCATTATCTATTCTTCGGTATATTCATAGCAAATTTTATAAAAATTTTTAACTTCTTTAAATTTTTTTTTTTTTTTTTTCGGGATCAGAATCTTCTTAAGCGGTCAGCGGCTTTAATATAGACTTTAATATTGTATATAGTAGTGTATGTATATTAATTTTTTAATTTAAATTTGCCTTTAATTTGTTTTTTTATGTTTTTCTGCAAAAAAATTTTTCTGTCACTTTATCCTTCTGAACTTATGTGATTAAGTTTTTGTTTTCTCTTACATATTTTCTCACTCATCTTATCTCATCCGTTCATTTTCTCTTTTTTTTTTCATTTTTCTTAGCATTACTCTTTTATATTTTTGTGTTAATTCCAACTTTTTAAATAGTTTTGTTCCTTATACTTCTTTTTTTATTACTTGTATTAATGTAGTTTTCTTTCTTTCTTCTTATTTTTTATTTTATTTGTTTATTTTATGAAGGTGTCGCTCCATTGACTTGTTTTTAATATGAGTGACACCAAACATAAATTTGTAAATTATAATTAAGTTTGTAATTTTTGATTTTATGGTTAATTAACCATAAGCGCATGCGTAGTATGTACAGTAAGGTTTTTGTTATCCTTTTATTTAATTAAATAAATGGATAAACAACTTTACTGTACATACTACGCATGTGTCAAGACTGTCAAGCATGGCGTACATACTGGACATCAAAGATCAGCCTGGGGATTACATACACAAATGTTGGATCCATCTCTTTTCACAAATGTAATTTTGACGTTGTTAGAAAAAGAGGTCTGTAGTATCTATCTATCTCTCCAGGTATATAATACGGCCTCTCAATTGTGTTGAAAATGGCAGCCATATGTGCGTTAAAATTTAAATCACTGTCAAACTTGTATCTGGTGTTTGCCCTGTCCTCTGACGTGCAGGAAACGGCAAGCAATATGTGCGCATGAAATTCAAATCACTGTCAAAATAATTTTAAATATTTAATTAATAAAATTGAAATGAAATAATATAAAAAATGCTTTAGAAATACAAATGAGTACAAAATTATACAAATGAGTACTTTCAGAGTACAGGATTTGAAAAAAGTACGGTTTGTGAAAAAGGAGTAAAAAAACTCAGTAAATGAGAATAGCAGGTCAATTTAATTGTCTACATAATTTTTTGGTAGATTTCAAAGTTCTTGCAAAAGATGGTTTTATCTATGATAATATTGAGTTTAAAATCAATCTTGCTGTTATCATATGTGGTGCACCAGCTAGAGCATTTGTAAAGTGTATTAAAGGACACAATGGTTATAACTGATGTGAATGTTGTGCTTAGAAAGGAGAGTGGTGTGGCAAGATAATTCTCCTACATATTTCACTTATTTATCTCCTACATATTCACTTATATAGCACTGATTCAGATTTTTTGTCATTTAAAGCATTCTGAACATCTTAGTGGTGTGTTAAATTGAATTAAATTTTGACATGGTGACAAAGTTTCCTTTAGACTTAATGCATCTAGTATGCTTAGGGGTAATGCGAAGATTTCTCAACTTATGGTTAATTTGCCCAAATGTTGTAAATTGTCTCAGATTACAGTCAATACTTTATCTGGCGGATTGTTCCAGATACGTCATTACATTCCAAGAAATTTTTCTAGAAAATCAAGGTCTTAATTAGATATTAAAAAATGGAAAACAACTGAGCTTAGACTATTCATAGTATACACTGGACCAGTTGTTTAAAGGGAATGGTTTAGCCAAAAATCTATTCAATTTTTTAGATTTTTCAGTTGTAGTTCTACTTTCATAATGTTTCATTTTGTTGAAAAAATATGTTAATTTTGCTTTTCAGCTACTTATTTTTATATGTAAACTTTATCATAAAGATCAACTAGTGTACAATGTCCATTCATTAGCACATATAGGAAATAATACAGTTAAATTTTAGGTACTTGATAGATGTTCCTCTTTCAAATACAAAACTTTTTCAGGTCAATTAAAAAGTGTTTGTCTAGGGGGCTCATTTGCAAATTTAGGGGTTCTTTTACAAATGTAAGGATTTTTTTTTTTTTAGGATTTTTATTTAGATTTTGTTTATCTATTGGAAAAGTTTTTAGGAATTTTGGGGCCCTTATGACAGGTTTTTTTTTGGAATGGGGGACTTGTATCTAGTAGCCACGGCACTGTATATAGGGTAACTGTATACAATATATATCAAATTATATACAATATAAATAAAAAAATATATTTATTTGATAATTTTATATAATTTATTTATCAGTAACTAAAGGAATGTTATCAGTTTATTATATGAATCATAAGCATGTGCTTATCTATTACAAGTACCTTTGATGGTGAAAATTACATTTTTTATCTGAAGAGAGTTGGGAGAAATGGTAAGAGTTTTATAACATATTAAAATTAATGTATGTGTTACCAATAAAATTTAAAACTAACAGTTAAACTTAATTTTTACAGTTCATATTGAAACGAGATATTGTGTAAAGAGGTTTTCAAAGAAGTTGTTTTAACAACAATGGAAAAGCTTCCGATTTCCGAGATAAACGTGAAAGCATTTGATACATGATTAAAGAATCGTTTAAAAGTTTGCTTAATTTTGACAGTGTAAATTTAGTTACTATTTTTTTTGAAATAAACCAATCAATTTATATATAAATTTGCTTTTTCTGTAAATTTTAAACATTTAAAGGTAGTTTTGCAAGATTTGCAATAAGTAAACCTCGTGGAACCCTCACGGGATACCCGGCGGGCATACCCATATGGGCCCCAGAAGAAAAACGCGGCCATGATCCGGCAGGTTCCCGATGGGTTTTCCATATGGGTCCCATTTGCAAACCCAAATGGGTCCCTTACGGTGATAAAGTACGGGATTTGACTGGGACCCATACGGGATACCCGGCGGGCTAACCCATATGGGTCCCATATGGAAACCGCGGCCATGATCCGGCGGGATACCGTTGGTCTTCCCATACGGGACCCAGTTAACGACCCGTATGGACCCCGTACGGTACCCGTATGTCAATGTTGGCTGGGGTGGTATTATATTGTAGCTTAGTTGTTGCTGCATATACTGCTGTCTTATTGAAATTAAATACGGATGTCATCGCAAAATAAAAACTGAGCGACAATTTATCTTTTAACAGCTATGAACAATATTTGGTGTGTATATATTCTTATTATTATGTTAACTCGAGAAATATCTCTTCAATGGTATTTAAAATGTCACTTGACACAATATTCGTAATTTCTATATGTGCAACAAATTAAATCAAATAATTTTGAAGCTTTAAAATTGATATCTAAAACCAGAATAAATTTCATAAATGTATTCTATTTACTAATTAAACAGAGATAAATTTAAGTATAACAAATAAAAACCAAGAAAGAAGCTTTTTTTTTTTTTATCAAAATTACTTCTTAATTAGGAAGAATTTTTTAGGTCAATATTATTTTAGTGATGACCTTGTTTTTGCTGGAGCTAATTGCAGCAGCATTATGCCTCAATAATGCTGTTTATTGAAAGTTATATTTTTCATAACGTCACTGTAAAAATTATGCATGAAAAAGCTAGTTTGCTTATTTTTTTTTTTTTTTTTTTTTTTTTTTGTAAAACCTTTTTGCTTGCCAAAGGTATGTGGATGCGCGCAAAGGTTTGTGCATCGGTGTGTGTGTGTGTGAGTATTAGCAAAATAATGTTTCTAAAATTATTGAAAAAATAAATTTTCAATTAAAAAAAGAACAAAAAAATTTTAACATTTATTTTTTAAATAAATATACATATATGTAAAAATATAAACATGTACAAAACATTGTTGCGTATATTCATTTATAAACATGAGTAAACACAAATACAAATATATCTATTTTCAGCTATTTAACCATCGACAAATTTACATTTGATTATTTAGAAAAAGTTATTTTTCTGTCTTTGATAATGGTCGACGAAATAACAGGATTTGTGGCTCTAAAAAAAAATTTTGTACATTTGTTGCATTAATAATGTAAGTAAAATATTTGACTAAGGCCTGCTCAAAAAAATATATATTGTTATTGTCGTAAATGTACATGTAAATGTAAATGGTACATAAACGTACCTTTACGGTTACGTACCGTAATGGTACGTAACCGTAAACCGGTCTATGAGACAGTTAAGGAACTGTAAATTAGAAAACTTGGTAAAAAATTTAAATTTTAATGAATTGGAATGTCATACATCTAAATGTATGACATTCCAATGCATTAAAGTTTAAATAAAAAGTTTTTATTTCAAAATTTTTGGTGACTTTTTTGGTGAAAGTAAAATTAAATATTGTTGTATATGTATGCTAAATAACTACTTACAATGTATGCTAAAAAAATTAATTACCGGGTGCATGGTGCAGGTAATGGATCCATCCTCTAGATTGAGTTACACCTAACTTTCGCCATTCGTCTTCACTAAGTAAACGTTGTTTTGGCATGTGCCTTAGTAGTTCTTTTGGTAATAAAACATGCCTATAAAATATATTTGCAATACAATAATGAAATAAACCTCAACACTAAGCGATTAAATGTCTGTTTTACTTTATCTTTAAAAAAAAGTCAACCTTGCATATTTTTGTCGTTTAATACCTTTAAAATATTTTTAAATAATGCTATACTTCCTGTTTATACAAATTTTTATAATACCAAAAAACTCATTTTAAAAATTTATAATATTATTCTAAAAAGTATTGAATCAGATTTTTTCTATGCAACAACTTTGAATTTTTGCTGCTAATATTTTAACTAAGTCCAATTTAAAATTGATAATGCTAAAACTACATAATATCAAAAATCTTATTTCACTCAAATTTAAATAAAATGTGCGTTGCCATCAATTCTGTCTTTTTTTAGTATAAATGGTACAGTTGTTAAAAAAACTCAATCATCTAAATTTCTTGGTGTATTAAAAAAGCTAATCTTAGAATTTTTACTTTGAAGCTAAATAAATACAAAAATTTTAGATAAATTATTAAAAGTTTAAGATAAATTAAATCAAAAATATAGCTCTATTTTTTAAAGCTGGATATTTTCTAAAATAGAAGAGCTCAAAACTTTTTAATTTTTTTATACACAGCTAACTAACAAGCGCAATTATAGCAAGGGCAAGCACCTATAAAACTAAGTTAGGTTCCATTCATCGACGTAGAAGCTCGCTTCTAGAAATACATTTTATAAAGACAAATTTACCTTTGACAAAACTTTAGTTAAACAGTTAAATGCATTAAAAATTTTTATAACCAACGTGTATACAAAATATTCAAATATCGAATGGGAATCGCCCTAATCAATTACATTCACGAATACATACACAATCGGAATCGCCAATTCAATTTACCGTAAGCCTAGGTAACTTTGGCCAGCAGGGTAACTTTAGCCATTTTAAAAAATTTTAATTAAATATCTGGAACTATATATATATATATATATATATATATATATATATATATATATATATATATATATATATATATATATATATATATATATATATATATATATATATATATATATATATATATATATATATATATATATATATATATATATATATATATATACTCAGGTAAAAACAGCTAATTATAAACAAAAGTCTAATAGATCGGTAAAATATCAACACTTAAGTAGTCGTAATTAAAAAAAATTATAAGTATCTAAGAGAAAAATAGGAATAATTTTATTTTTACTTTTTTAGTTCAAAATAGAACTGCTTGTGCATCTTACTCGATTGCAATTCAAAACCTTTTTGCTACTTATTTTGTTATCATTCTAATTGTCTATCATTCTTTAGTTGCTTTGTCATACTATGTGTAGTTTTCCAGGTACTTTAATTGTCCCACTTATGCTCACTAGTCCTGGTCTATCTTATACTCAATAGATTCGTTCTATAAAAAAAAGTTATTTTCAAATTTTTAAATTTAAAATCATCAAAAATTTTGGTGCATATTTACATGTGTCTATGTATATATACATATATGTGCTATTTTTATTTAGTAATTTATAACATGGTTACTATACATTATATATACTACTATATAACTCTATTTAGTTATATACTATATAACTGGCTTTGATTTATTTTTTGGGTTATTACTATTGGAAAATAGACAGGTGAGCTTTTTTTTTAATGATTTCATCAAGGAAACTAATATTTAAAAAAATATTAGATAAAGAGGCCAAGATAGCTTGGTGTATTAGGTTTGTAATAGTAATAAAACAAATATCAGAATATCTCTGGATTTTTCTTGACTTAAATAATATATTTAATAATATGAATACTTGCTGGTTCACATACAAGGGAATGAACTGAAAAAATATCAGGGGTGAGCCATAAACTTTATTTACCTTAAATTTAAAGTTAGACACTGTTTTAAATTAATTAAGTGAAAATTCGGCAAGTAGCAAAACATTTAACCCACTAAGCATGATATAATTAAGTAGTTATGTAATGATAATAACATTTTCCATTATATTAAACTTATCAAAATAAAAAAAATTAGATAAACTTCAAGTCTGGAAAGAAACCTCAAAGGCCAATCAAAAGAAATCCACGCAAGTCAACCTGCCATGACCTCCGACCTCAACATTTAATAGAGAATAGTCTGAAGAGTTGTTAAATACAATGTAGGGGCTAAATATTTTGCCAGAACCAAAATATTTCTGATAACTCTGAAGGCTGGAAGAGGCTGGAAAGAAGTAAGAAGAGGCTGGAAAGAAGGTTCTCTGACGTTAGAATAAAAAACATCCAATCACTCTGTTTACAGATAAAAATATATTTTACAGTGGATCCGGTCACAAACAGCAAAACTGACAGGTACCTTTAAACTCTACATGTACAGGATGTCTCTGATTACATCAAAATAGTAGGTCAGGTAAAGCGCCCTATACAGATCATGCTGTTAGGATTGGTAGCTTTCAATGGTCTAAAAATGCCTCAAGTTTTTTTAAAAACAGGCTGCGAGAAGAGTGTAATAGACTATTTAGATTAATTTCCCCACTCTGTGTGCTTTCCGGTATACGTGGTAACTTCAAGAGTAGTGACTATTTTGTTTTCATGCAGGATAGTACAGGGTGCATTGTTACAAAGCAAACACCGTCTAGGCATGGCTCTCAGAGAACATTACTAGATCTTAGAGGCCCAAAAGAAATGTGGCCTCTAAGATCTCTAGATTTGAAACCTCTGAGTTTTTCTATTAGGCTTATGTTTAGGCCAAGTCGGCGCTACTCGACTTTCTCCCCCCCCCCCCCTGTTTTTATGATTGATTTTTATAGAGTATATTATACTGATTCTAAATCATATAAAAACATAGGTCTGAAAACTTGAGGAAAGTACTCTAAACTGATGTTAAAGTATAAAAATCCACATTAAAAAACGCTAATATTCCACCATCTTTTTAAAAACATTTTAACACTGTTTTTAAAATTTAGGTAATTAATTTTTTAACTAACAACCCGGTTTTTATTGTTGTTTTTATATTTTATGATGTACATACATCGACTGACATATAGGAATTGGCGCAACTAAATGTACATGCATCGACTGACAAATAGGAATTGGCGCAACTAAATGGACATGTATCGACTGACAAATAGGAATTGGCGCGATTAAATATACATACATCGACTGACAAATAGGAATTAGCGTAAATAAATGTACATATCTACTGACAAATAGGAATTGGCGCAATTAAATGTACATGATTTTGTTCAGGGTTTGGTTGGGGCAGGAAATCAATAAAAAATGCGTTTTAAATTGAAGCGTCGATAGAAACCAGGGTTTTTCAAAGTTTTTATTGAAAAAGAATTTTATTATAACCGAGTATGACAAAGATGGCTAATATTAGCGTTTTTTAATGTGGATTTTTATACTTTAACATCAGTTTAGAGTACTTTCCTCAAGTTTTCAGACCTATGTTTTTATATGATTTAGAATCAGTATAATATACTCTATAAAAATCAATCATAAAAACAGGGGGGGGAGAAAGTCGAGTAGCGCCGGCCAAGTCTTGTAAGCAACAACACTCAAATGTTGAAATCTTGAAGACTTTTATCACCCGGCCCTGGTCTTACATGTCAGTTGACTATATCCAAAAATCTGTTGCAAGTTTTGTCTCCAAATTGAGACTGTGATCGAAGCTAATGCAGCATACACAGGGCCGGCGCGATTAGGTGTCACGTGGGGGGTGCCATTACAACTTTTGCCGACTAAAAAAAAAAAAAAAAAAAAGTCCTCGTTTTCCAAAGTTTGTCGGCTGATATTTGCCGACTATCTAATCTATATCGAAAGGGTCGACATTTGCCGGATAACTAGTCTAAAATGGTTTAATTTGCCGACTAAGGGCCCAGTTTGCCGACTAAACCCCCCTATCACGCCGGCCTCGAGCATACAGTACTATTTTAATAACAAAGTAAACAATTGTACTTTTTTAACGTAAATTTTGCATTAAGTAAGAGTGAGTCGCAATACTTTTCAACCATTATCTGATATCTCGAAATAGCCAGCATATTCTTTAAAGAACTTTCAAGAAGTACAAAAGTTTTACTTTTTAAGACAAAAAAATAGTGAAATGAAACACCGCTAACGCTAAATTGAACCGCCCCAAGCACGGTAAAAAAATGGATCTTTATATATTTTTTGTGTATTTACTTGGTGAATTTTTTAACACTTTACATTTATATTATATACATATTTATATACATCTTATCCAATACAAATCTATTTTTAAAAAAGTTGAATTTATAAATATTTATTGTCAATAAAAATTTATTATTATTAAATATTTATTATTGTTAAGTATTTATTGTCAATAAACATTTATTATTATTAAATATTTATTATTGTTAAGGATAAGTTAAAACTCCTCAACATTACCGTGATCCTTTGTAAAAAACCATCCAATTTGAATAACGTACCTGTATTCATACTCGTCATCAGAATATTTCTCTGAATAAAATATTTGAGACATTTTGTTGACTACGCGACTTTATAAGATAATAAAAGCAAATCTCGAATTAGCACAACAATATAAATTTGTAACTGTCAGGCAATACTTTTTGAAATTTAAACGTAATAATAAAGTTAATTGACCAGTACTCCCATGGGTTTTATAAACTTTGACTATTTAGGAATAAAAAAATTTTCTTTCGGAAATGGTTTACATTTTGGTTACATTAAATGCGTCAAAACTACAATTTTTATCATTATTTTTAAAATAATTCACGATTTCTTATGAGTTTCATTAATATTTTCAATTAATGTTAAAATCCTTCCAAATAATTAAACAAAAAAATTCTCAAAAAATTAAAAGTTAAAAGACTTCTCAATTAAATTGTAGTTAGCATATAGTTAACTTAATTAAAAACAATTAATACATAACATATTATTGCTAAGGAGCTGTCCATTAACTACGTCAACAAAATAGGGGGAGGAGTAGTCAAAAGAATTAACTTTGCTTAATCTGAGTTTTTAAAAAGCTACTAACATCTTTCTTTCAATATTATATTAATATTTGGGCATGGAGCTAAAGGGCAGCATCTTGACATCGAAAGAACCACATGAGGCTTTCTAGCCGCAGGTTACCAACCCCTGGTATAAAAGTTTAAACGATATAATGTTGACCATGTACTTACATTAATCTTTTTTGTATGCACAGCAGATTAAAAATTTTTAAATTGCAAATTTTGCCTCTTCCATTTATTCCATGCCGACTCCTAGTTTATACAATTTATTAAATGCATTTTTCGTGTAAGGTGAATATATTTTTGTTAATCCTTTTTTCGTTTGGGCTACGTCTTTGCAGTTATAAACTGGAAATATGTTCTCAAGTTAAAAGTTTAATAACTTTTTTTTATGCCTTTTAATTTTATTCAGAGCAAGTAATTGTAATTTTAAATGGTTATATTCATTTGAAATCAATTAATAAGTTAAAATTTGAATACATTTTTTTTTCTAAACATCATACTTTTTATCACTTTTTTTTTTTAGTTGTAAACTAGTCTATAGAAAATATTGTTTTGTTTCTTTTTTAATTTAAATTTGATTTTTAGAAAAAAAGGGGGAGATGGAGGCTAGGTAAACGAACATTGACGTAATTCAATAGGGGGTCTATGGAAGTTGGATAAGTTATTGACAAGGGGGAGGGGAGGTAAAAGTTGCCAAAAAATGTTGACGTAATCAATGCACAGCCCCTAAAAAGTATTTTGAAATCATTACAATTTTACCACCAAGAGTTTATATCAAAAATGTTTAAGTAATGTGAAAAGGTTTTCTTATTTTTTAAATTATTTTACCTCATTATTTTAACATGTTATGACATGAGTCTTCCTTAGACCATGACTTTTTTTAAAGTGGTTAAAAGTTAAATGACGTCAACTTTCCAATTTATATTAAATATTAAAAGCAGATTTTAATATGTAAAATTCAGAGAAAAAATAGCATATAATATTTTTTTTCTAAGGTAATCGTTTAAATACGATAATTATTTTTTTTTTCTGTATGGCTTAGTCATCAAAAAGATTAATTATCACTAAAAAACATTAAAAAAAAGTTTCTAATTTGATATTTTCAGAGGTTTGACAATAAATTTGAAATGTTAATCTAAATTTAACTCCGTCGTTTTTAATGAGGAGTAGCTTATAAAGATATACTTTAAAATCAGTGGTGTAGCTACAATTTTACGCTTGGAGCAAGTAAAATTGGTTTTCCCTATGATCCTCGAATTGAAGCAAGTGAAAAAAAGATGTATTTATTTCAATTTGAATTATAGAGGATATATACAATATGTAGTAAAACCTCATATGTTCTAAATTTTATAAAAAACTATTTTCTAAAATGTCTAAATTTGGAAGTACCGAAAAAAGAGGTTAAGTTGGAAATTCTGATTAAAAAAACAAAATCATTTCTACATTGCTCGTGTGTCATCGAAAAAAGTCAAGCTTCAACTTTCTGATAAATGCTTTCGTATATTCCTAAATTCTTTAAATCCGTAAAAAATAATTGTTGGTTTTCTCTGACCCGTCTGAATTCCAGCTGCCCCTTCCCCCCCCCCTCACATTTTTTTTTAAAGACTTTTTTTTAGTCATTTTTTAAGGTGCAATAGTGGTTCAAAACCAACTCTTTAAAATAGCCTCAGACCCCAAAAAACCTAACCCATCACCGGCCTTTAGGTCTAGAAAAAAGTCTTGAAATTCAAAAACCTTTTTTTGTATTGCTGTCTTTTCTCAATTAAATAATTAAATTATCACTGACCTAGCCACAAAGTACGAAAAATCAATTTAACAATGTTTAGCTTTAAAATAGTTTTTACGACATTTGGTTTCAGCAAAACAAACAACATGATTCCTACTGTAAATTTTTTTTTTTTGAATTTCTCTTAATGTTAAAGATTGAAAATGCCGAAAATCTTTTCAGTCAAATTGTTGAAAGCGGAATGCTCTTAAGCCACTTAAGTGAGTTGAATAACCACTCTCCTGGACAGTTTTACAAGAGCGGTAATCAAAAGCATTCGCAGTACGACATTTGATATCGTGGACTCTTTTCTAATTTTATTGCCAATCAAATTGTATGTTGAAACAAAGCGTCTGAAATGAATACACCCGTTTCCAAGGCATACATATAAATACATATAATTTCGTAAAGTATAAATAATAATTGTATGAGTAGGGCAAAAAGAAGACAATATTTGTTATATCACTACGCCTTATGATTGTTGCAGAACAACTTTATCAGGTAATGCCACGAGAGAGGTGATAAGCACTTAAAAAATACGCATAGTTGCCGAATTGATTCAAATCTAATGGTTAATTTAAATTATATATATATACATATATATATATATATATATATATATATATATATATATATATATATATATATATATATATATATATATATATATATATATATATATATATATATATATATATATATATTTATATATATATATATATATATATATTTATATATATATATATATATATATATATATATATATATATATATATATGTAAAACATTTGTATATATATTTCTTACTTTGTAAATATAAATTACAAAGTAATTCACCGTTAAAGAATATTTAAAATTACAAAGTACATTAATTAAAGATTCACATGACCGGGGCAAAAAGAAGACTATAGTTGTCTTATCACTAAGCACCGTAGTATATGGGGGAGAATGGGAAGAGGTGGGAGACAAAAAAATTTTTTCAGGGTAATTGCTGGGTCTTTTTATTTGACGTATGAACTGAACAAAACAAGTCTTAACAAATAAAACAGTATTTGTTGCACCAATTTTACCCTCTAAAATTGGTAGCACGTTTTAATTGAGTATTTTTTTGGTTTTAGAGGAACCGTGCAATTGGGGTAAAGTGGGACAAATGTGGGTGAAGTAGGACAAGTGAGTGGAAAAAGCGGGATATTTGCGAGAGAAGTGGGACTATATTAAAAAAAAACGACTCTAAAAATAGTTAAATTTATATTTGAGTAAGTTTTGATTTTAAAGTTAAGTTTAGTTTAAATAAAACAAAATAGTCAAAAAAAGAAAAAATTCACATTTAATGTGGCAAAGTTCACTTGGAAAATGATTTCAGCATTTGTTCTTGATGTTGTTCCAGCTAGCGGTTGAGACCTCTACATCAAAACCTTTGTCTATTTTTTCTACATAAAAAGAAACGGTTTCCAAGTTTTTTTATTTTTAATAACAATATATATATATATATATATATATATATATATATATATATATATATATATATATATATATATATATATATATATATATATATATATATATATATATTTTATTAAAACATATTTGTCTTTAAATATTGCTTTTTATATTCACTCTAATATAATCTTTTTTAGATTTTCACTTAGGAATTGACGGCCTGATGTGTTCCAAATAGTGACTAGACTTTTACTTTTTTTAAACAAAAAAATTTAAAAAGAATTTAATTTGCTGCCGTTTTTTTTTATCAAGTTTAAATATTATACTATCTTGTTTATATCATAAAGAAGATGTTAGATTGCGTAATCAGTAGAATGACCAGATTTAAAACCAAGTTGTTTGTTGTACAAAATATTATTCTTGATTAAGAAAGAGTACACACTCGCGGAAAGTGTGGAATTTTACTCCACACCGGTGTGTAGATATCACTCCTATACACAAGTGTGGATTTATTTTGCACATTTTTGTGCAAATTAACTTTTTCTAACTCGACTTATTCGGGTTATGATGCTCTTTATAAATATCATCATAACCTGCTTTGCTTACTACTATATATATATATATATATATATATATATATATATATATATATATATATATATATATATATATATATATATATATATATATATATATATATATATATATATATATATATATATATATATATATATATATATATATATATATATATATATATATATATATATATATATATATATATATATATATATATTCATTTGCGTTCAGCATTTACCGAGAGCAGACGCGCTTTTGCCACTTTTTATTAATCTTTCAAAAATCTACCAAATTTAATTTTGCTAAACTGAAAAATGGCCAAAAATATTACTTTATCGCAGTTCAAAGAATTATTAGAGATGCACGAAAATACCTTAATAAAAATTTTCAATGAAAGATTTCAAAAAATAAATGCAAATAAAACAAAATTACAAGAGAAAACTAAAATAAATTTAACAAAACAAGAGAGTGAATTGATAAATGACAAGATGGCCGAGTTGGAAGACAGATTTCGATAGACGAAACGGAGGAAGAAACTTGGGAAAATTGTGAGGAAAAAATTAAGTTATTACTTAAAGAAAAATTAGGTATTAATAGGGATATACAGATAGAAAGAGCTCATTGTACAAGAAAGAAAGAAAACGAAAATACGAAAAGAAAAAGAACAATCGTTGCAAAATTTCTCAACTTCAAAGATCGAGAAAACATTTTGTTAAAATATAAAAAGATG